ACTTATTCTAAAAACATTAATGTCTATCCGGTGTTTTTTGGCAAAAAGCCACACAGATTTTAATTCTGATTCCTCATACACAAACAATACAGAGGAGGTAAATACTTTAACCTGCCTGCTCAGGGTGAGCATTAGAACAATAACCAACATTATGGATGCCCGGCAGGTTAAGCAATTAGCATATTGCCGCCTTACAGCAAGAACCATTCAATATTTTTACATTTATAATAATGTTTATGAATTTCAATGCCCCAGTAATAGCTAGAGAGGTCAAGTGCTTCATAATATAACATAATACAAAATCCTCTTACTTTATCTTTTGCAGAACACTAGTATGTAAAAGATTAAAATATGAAAGTTTGCATACTGACATTTTAAACAAAGATCTCATTTGACCTATTCTGAGCTCAGAGGAAGTACTGAGGATGGCTTCCAGCTACTACCACACCTAATTTCAGCTTCATATAAAAATAACCAGATGTAAAGTCACTTTTATTTTCCATCAAATGGGTTCTTCAGGTGACCAATCATAGATGCACATTTAATTGTTACTTTCCGAGTTTCTTTTAAATCTGTCCACTGGTTTTTGAAAGATTTTGCAAACAGACAAAAAGAATTGGCTCCAAAAGTTATTAACAAAGTTTTATAGAAATAATTTGTGCTATCACTTTGTGCGSTAAGTGTTGGGGATGACTATCAGCTACCAGGACACCAACATTCAGCTCATTATCTGTAAAACTGACAGTGTTAAAGCCATGTTTGTGTTTGATAAGTTTGATCAGCTGGGGTGGCCATCTTGTATTGGGTTAAATCCAAATTGTAATCAACTGTAGACATAGATCCAATGATTACTTTTTGAAAGTTTTATTAAAATTCTTGTGGTGGTTCATGAGATATTTTGCTAACAGTCAGACACAAACTTGCACATACACAAGTGAGATCATTGCCTGCCTTTTGTGTGGTGTATTGTACAGACTTCAAAACAAAGCTCTATCATAAAACTGCCAGACAAATGTAAGACGTTATGTTTTCAGGTCCAGTAAAGCAAGCGACCAAGCAAGGTGAAATGCCGCCTCATAAATGAAGGGATAAAATAAGACACAGTTTGATACATCCCAAGTTTCTCATTTGATGTCGTTTGAGCAGAATTAATTGACGAAACAAGAATTATTTCCTCTGTGGGATTCAAACAGGACAGCTCAGCTGCTGGTTCTCTGTCTTTTCTGTTTAATAAAATATTCAACCAGTGTGAAGTAAAATAAACTGAAACATTGTGGAAACTCTATTAAATAATTAGGTAATGACTGAAATAATTATATTTGTAAACTGCTCATTCAAGGCCAACAAGTAAGTTGCATAATTTTTTTAACTATTCACACTTGGCAGCATAAAAGGTAAAAAAAAGAAAAAGAGCAACTCAAAGAGGTTGAGCAGGTTCACCAGCATGTGAAAGACTGAGTAGGCAAATAATTAATCGTTTTATTGTAGAAAAAATATTTCTCWTTGTAAAATTCCATCATTTGTGGTGCACAATGTTGGATTAAAATACTTTTGAATCTGAACAAAGAAGGAAAAAATCTGAGCTGCAGCAGGGTGTTCCAAAAAAAGTAGCTACGACTAAAATTAATTTCTTAAAGGAATTGATAATGACCTGCTTAATGTGTGAACACCAAAGTTTAGAATAGGGTTGACTGCAAATGTTAGAGTTGGACATGTGGTTTAAAATATATTTTGCTAACAGTGATAAAGTGTTACACTAAAGTCTTGCATGACCTCACTCAAAAAAACAGATTGTTGGATTTACTTAAACCAGTTATGTCAACAATTTCCACTCACCTGAGTTGAGTAAGTGTAAAGCAACTTTCCCATTTTTTAATAGAAAATTTGAAAGTTGCTTTACACTTGCGTAACTCGTTTGAATGGAATTTTTTTGACATAACTTGGTTAAGTAAATCGAACACATCTGTCTTTGAGTGCAATTGTTTTATAGAAAACCAGTTGTGCATGTCACGTTTTTGACCTGTGAAAGAAATATTCACATCTAACTACAAACAGAGTCTGAACCAACACAAACTGCCATAAAGATATTATATAT